TAAATATTTACATGCATGCATATATTTTTATATAGTGAAAACTCATCATTTCGCAGCAGAATAGTATACTTACCTAACACCTCTAACCGAAGACTCGCGTCCTACGTGATGAATAGGTCCTGGATTATACAATTTATCACAATTTTCCACTTTTCGTGTAAGGTTGGCTGGTACTCTGACAGGTGGTTCCTTGGGAAAACTTCTCAGTGGACCCTCATAGTCCGGATATGACTTTGGTTGCCGACTGTATGCCGGTGTGAATTCGGCGTATAAAGGATGCGGTTCATCTATTGCATTACTTGTTGTGTGAAGTGTATGTTGATCTGCATTCTCTTTAAGTATCTCCTTTGGATGTGTTACTCTATCATTACTTTGTTGTGATGCTGTTTTATTAGCACCGCTTGTGTCTGATATGTTCTTATCGGGAGGGGTAGTGATGGTGGAGTATGGCGACATACGTCTGTCAATCTGCATACACCTCGGTTGTGCTGGGCACTTGCCGCGTGCTATTGGCGTATAGTGTGTATAGTATCTATGTAAGTCGGTACGAATTGGACTCTCAGGAGTATTCAGGTGAACACGGGCTGAAGAGGCCATACGAGCTGTATCATTCTTTAGATAGTGACCAAAATTGCCTCGTAATTTAGTGAATAAGTGAGTTGTATGTACCTTTCTTCTGACTAATAAGACTCTCTTCGATGATTGTGATAAAGGCAGTGATGCCCACGAACATATGCCGGCAACCGACATTGTGCTATATTAGTTTTTTAAGTCAGCCTGATCACTGATACGCATTCTGATCTCCGATACGCATTCGTTACTAACCTACATATGTGCATAACGCATTTTTTGTCCCAGTATCAAATAAGGATAAAGCATGGAATTGTTCTTCAGTGTACTCCACCTGCGCCAAGATAAGCAACTCAGAGTCATTAAATATCGATCTGTATTATAACAAAGCAGTATATAAGTAATTATTGAAAAGTGAAAGTCGACGACGCGGCGATGTGCATTTTTTTTTAAAGTAAACAAACTACGCAGGTTGACTTGCACGTGAACTGTATTTTTCGCGTCTAAATATGTGTAATTTACAAATCGTGAACTGTTTTCTAATTATTACCCGCCAAAAGTGAGACGAAGTATATATTTAGTCAATAATATGTACAGTCAGACATGCATATTACGTCACAGTGAAATTTTAAGACTTTTAACCAGAAGTTAGTATCGTAGCTTTTCATTGGTCGCTATTTCAAATCTGTAAGTGACCCTGCCGCATGTGTATTCCTATATGCCTTATTATCATAGCTTTCGTTACTACTACCTTGCCCTTTCTTGATACTTTGATAATAAATATCTTCGTATTTCCACCTGTGCTGTTGTCTAGATTCCATCCAATCTCTAGAAGCCGAACACTGATCTCACGCTTCTGAATAAGTTTAAGGGCATGTCGCGCGCGCTTGATGCACTTGCTAATGGTCGTATTTCTTTCGAGGCGTCAATAGTTACTAGCAGCTTTAATTGCTGTTTATAAGATTATAACTAGTGATTGTATTCAAACCACAAGCATAGTCACATCATGGCTCATTCGAATATTGCAAAATAAAATAAAATATGATTTGCTTTGCACACATGCTTAACCACTTTCTATGTGTATTTATAATTTAAAATAGGGCCAAATCAGCCAATTATCCCTGAATACCCATCAGGAATCGGTTGGAAAAAAAACATGACCCGCCTCAGAATTATTTGGACTACTATCCAGGCTGACTAGTCAAAAAGGTGGCTACTATAAAAGCAGGTCTGACCGTCTGACTGTATTGCCTTTTTTATATATTTTAAAAAACGAATATGTATTACTAGTTTTAACAAACTAAACACCGGATAATATTGTTTATTCAAAGAGACAAGTCACAATATATGTACTTATGGTATGGCTCTCATAGCCGTTGTAGTGGTTTGGGGAAGATTGTTGGGAAGAAGTGGTCAAAAAAAAATTGTTTGAAGCTTGGGCCAAGTGAGTCGACGATGGAGGATATGCGCTGGTTCAATTCAAGCCGGTGCTGACAAAACCCGACACCATCGAGTGTGTCATGTGTTTGCTTGCTGACCTGCTGGGTAGCGTACGCCCCTTTGTGGTACGGAATGGATCGGAACGAATAAGTGCACAGTACGAAATGCCGAGTAGACCCAGGTTATCCGTCATAATTCGATTGAGGAGCGAGGTTGGGGATGACCCGATGCCGCACCAGACCATGGGTGCACTTGGTATGTGCTGGTTGGCCTGAATCAGAAGTATCAAAGAACCAACAGGCATAATGACTTGATTTAGACCATAATTTGAAAGTATTACTTCAACAGCGTGATTAGGCGGGGTATGGGAAACATCTGTTGATGTGTCAGAGAGTGGTGTGGGTACGAGGGTTGTTTAGTATGCTGGATAAAGGATACAAGGTGTTCGTGGAGGTCACGGATATCGTGGAAGTCGTGGCGCTTCTATAATTTCAAGAGGTGGTCAAGGCAAATGGGAGGCAGTTTCGGGCCTATCAGGATGCGTCGAATCAGCTGCTGGATGCAGGCAAAGCAGCCGGTTGTCACTTTGTGGCCACCGGTACAGACAGGGTAGAACGGCCGTCGGTGAGGTAGTCGAGCAATGTAAATATGTACGTATCAGTTACAGTCATAGCACATAGCCGGATTAGTGTAGGCTCGAAGCAGTGTGAAACTGTCGTGTCTGTGTAAAAGCCGGCCCTCCACATTAGAATCTTGTAATATAAACGTACTCTTAAAAGTACGTAAAACGTACTATTGAAAGTACGTAAACTTAGTTTTGTTTTTAACGGTTTCTATTAATTAAATACCTTTTTCATTTTACATATCAGATATTTGGACAAGGCCATTAAAGGCCCCAGTAAAATACCGAATATAAGATTTGGACTAGTTCTATTAATAGAACTATATTACCTTTCTAATCTATATATATCTGAATACTTCGGTAGCAAGATGGCTCAACCGAACATAGGTTTCTAAGGACTAATAGCGTTGCTTAGTTTATCCTCCGTTCAGCCAGCCAGATGCGCCAGTCTGATGAAGGTTAAGTCGGTAATTCTTGATAAGTGGCAAGTTGTTGATTAATGCAATAATTATTGTAGAAATACGGCCTCCGGTCAGTCTAAAATATCAAGATCAATTGAGA